TGCAGTTGGTCCACGTAAGGTGTGCTTGCTTTTATCCAACTTTTGAAACTGATCCTCCTGTTTACTCCTCTCTCATCATTTTCTCAGTTGGAGGTGGCCCGAAGTGTCTCTCCGCTGCTCTGTTTCCATGCTTCTTAGCAAATTTGATTACTTCCAACTTGAAAGCAACTTTATATGCCAGTCTCTTCTGCTTAGACATCTTGAAAAGGAGGTACGGTAACGGTAATTTGCTGCAAGAAATCCAGAAATGAAAACTCACGGTTCGGATTGTTCCACGGATCAGGAGTCACGGATCGGATCTTTTTCGGATCAGTAAAAAAAACCAAGAAAAACATACCGGTACGTTTTTTGTCTTTTTTTTTTTTTTTTTTTTAATACATTATCCACCATTGCCCCCACTCATCACGTAATGTCCACCATTGCCCCCACTCATCACGTAATGTCCACCATTGCCCCCACTCATCACGTAATGTCCACCATTGCCCCCACTCATCACGTAATGTCCACCATTGCCCCCACTCATCACGTAATGTCCACCATTGCCCCCACTCATCACGTAATGTCCACCATTGCCCCCACTCATCACGTAATGTCCACCATTGCCCCCACTCATCACGTAATGTCCACCATTGCCCCCACTCATCACGTAATGTCCACCATTGCCCCCACTCATCACGTAATGTCCACCATTGCCCCCACTCATCACGTAATGTCCACCATTGCCCCCACTCATCACGTAATGTCCACCATTGCCCCCACTCATCACGTAATGTCCACCATTGCCCCCACTCATCACTGTAAAGTCCACCATTGCCCCCCCACTCGTCATCACCATCACTGTTCCAGTGCAACATTGCCCCCACATTAGTAATAATAGCCAGTAACATTGCATTGCCCCGCTCCTCACCTGTTGTAGATCCGCGCTATGGTAGGATCCACGAGCAGAGGGGGTGATGACGTCAGCGCGCACTGCCGGGTGTACTAAGATGGCCGACCGCTCCAGAGATAGGCCAAAGCCGTGGCCTTTCCTACGGCCGTGGCCATGCCTCACGGATTTTCTCTATTCGTCGTATAAGACGCACCAACTTTTCCCCCCCAGTTTTGGGGAAGAAAAAGTGCGTCTTATACGGCGAAAAATACGGTAATTTCTGTATGTTTTTTACTTTAAAATGTCCATTTTACAAAGGTCCCGGATTGAGAATGTATTTTGCTTCATTTGAAGCTAAACTTCTGCCCTACCAGCAGTCGGCTGTAAAGGTTCTTCTCATGTACTGAAATTTCTCTAGATTTCACTGCACACTGTGAGATTTTCACAATGTGCATTGGAAGTTTGTAGCAAGTCAGAGCTTCCCTCATTTTCTGACTACAGGACTTCCAGCGTCATATTCTTTCCAGCCAGACTGTTCCTAACCCTTTCCTTTTATTCATTGGACTCCACATCACATTTGAAGATTATCTAGGGTGGTCTGCATGCAAATACAGTCTGTCTAGGAGGCCCTGATTGACTAAGAATTGAGTGCAAAAAGGCATCAGGAACACATCTAGACTTTGTTTCTGTAGTGTGAACTGGCCCTTAGGACCTGTTCACACCATTGGTGGTGCAGAAACGCATGCAAGCACACATTTTCCAGCACAGCAAAGAAATGCAATGCCCTCTGCAGATGTGCGCAGGTACCATGATGAAAACGTAATTGCACCTACACACGTCTATTAAAAATAGCCCCATTCACAGCCCCAAACGCATGGCACCACACTACTATACGGTTAGGTGCAACACACTTTGAAAATAATATGCCTGCAGTATTTTGGCATGTTCCCACACATTAGGCAGCCCATTGAATTTAATGGGCTGAGGAAAAAAAAAACACAATGCCCCATTCTCACGGGTCCTCTGGCCTGTACAGTATGAATGAGGGGGTTGCTCATGTGGCTGGAGCCACCTGTTACACTATATGGGGACACAGCAGCTCTATGAACACAGTTTTTTTTAATCTGAGAGGTCTGAAGACGTGGGGAAGTGGCCCTGATTGCTCACTGTCTGTGTTCAGGGCTGTACACCTGCAACCATATGCTTGTCAAATTATGACCTGCAGCATTCCCATAGTGTAACATAGGTTGCCTGCAAATGGCGTTAGCCACAAAAACCAACCACTGATTCCCACTCTACAGGCCACAGCACCCATGTGAATGAGCCCCAAGACCTCAATTACACACACAGCTTTATTAACTCAGCACAGTTTTATCATTTTGATTGAAGAGGAATTGTGTCCATTAAGAAAATGTTGAGTATATTTTTTACCATAAATATATAATTTGGATATTTTCTGTGGTGGTGGGGTGCCTGTCAGGTATGCTGTACGGGGCCCCCATGATATCCAATAGTGGCCTTGGGTGTATGCTTGTTGGTGTCACCTGTATAGTTAGGAAGAACAGTAACTTCTATTAATATCTTGAACCTCTGCTATGTACCTCAATGTATCTAGGGATTGGACATGTTTTTTCCTATGAAAAAATCCAAAATTCTTGGTAATGTTTCCCCTGAAGCAAGCATGAACTAACCCCTTCATATTATAAAGCAGCACCAATTCTCATTTTCCCCAATTATGCATAGGCCAGATCTGTGTGCCCAGATAGGACCTCCCAGTGGCCCTTCTATGGACAAGGTCCACCACTTTTCTGTATACCTGATCTATATTGAGCTGCAATAGTCAATACGCTGCAATCGGCAGAAATATTTGGACACAAACCGCATGAGCTCAGGTATCCAAACGTGAACGTTCCTTCATAGCAAGCCTCCATGATGTACTGTATGGGCCTGGCCCACTCCAAATGAATGCATTGTTCTGGTAGGTCCTCCTATTACAGACTTGAGCTACATGTGGAGGAAATTGCACTGACTTTTCATCACATTGAATATTATCTGGCCATCTGAAGTCTCGGGAATACAATCAAGAGGATCTAACACTTAAAAAAATTATTTTTGACAAAACACAAAAATAAGCCAAATACAGGTAAATACGTCTAAAACATCCTGAAAATTATGGGGACTCTGATATCCGGTGAAAGTTCATTTAGGAACAAACAATTGTGCACCCCTAAAACCAACATAGAGGAAAGGGATGGTCAAATTGCTGTGCTGCTTCCAAACCCCCTCTGGCATGCCAGGGTCTTTCTGAAGGTCCTCGATGCCAGTTCTTGCCTGGGGCCACAAAATCATCACTGGCCACAAATGAAGGCGAGTAGAAGACATGAAGGTGGATTTCTCCCAGGTTGAACCTCAAGCAGTACCACTCCTGAAAAATGAGAGCAAATAATTGACACATCGTCATGACAGTCAATTCTCAGTGCAGGTTATCTAGAATGTCTTTGTCTTTTTTTCCTTTTTTTTAAACATTTCAAGAATTGAAGTAAACATTCTTGGAGCATTTACTGTGTTTGGAAAGGCACAAGGTCCCCCCTCCCCCAGGCACACTAATGTTTACTTGAAGTGGAGCCCCATCCTGCTTTCATGACGGGTTTGAAAAGCTTGCTTCTCTGTTCTACGTGGCTCATAAAGGAGTCTTCTTGGGCTCACACCAGAACAAGGTGCTTGTTCTGGGGGCAATGGACAGGAGAGAGGGGCCAAGGAATGCTGGCATGGGAGCAGCTAAATGAATGATTTTGGCTGCTCTGTGGTAAGCGGCTTTTCAGAGCAGGTAAAGCAGTCCTTAGACGGGTCGAACATCGGCCGATTTAAAAACATAAAAGAGAAATTGTGCATTTGATCAGCCAACGTTACCGCCAATGTTCTAAAAATCGGCCGATTTTTCAACCCGTTCATGGCTGGCATTAGTCTTACATGTTTATTATTATTGTAGTTTGGAACAATTGTTAAGATCACTTTTCCAAACCCACCTGTGACGTCAGACAGCGAATTCCAACAGGCTTCCCAGGGTCTCCATGTGCCTTCTCCTCCAGCAGTTAATCAGCTGAAAGAAAAACACATTTAGATACATAGCAGAGGTTTTTTTTTCTTCAGAAATCTACAGGTGGCACAGACAATAGGCCCAACTGGCCAGCTGTTCTTGTTGGGAATGCAACAGCATGTACTATAATGTACTATATATAGTATTGTGTGTTAATATCACTTGACCAGTAGATGGCGCTGTACACTAAAGGTTACTAGTTGTATATATGTAATAATTGCTGGTTCTTCCTGTTCTTCTCTATCATCTCTTCAGGAAGTAATCTGTCTGCTGAGAAATGTGCTCTGTATGTTTGTAACTTAAGCCACACAAGTAAAGTCTGAATTCTGCTATCACTACCAGTGTCTTCTATAACACATAACCAACAGTTCTAAGTCCTCTTCACTCTCTTGCCCAAAGCCACAGCATTTCTTCATGTAATGTTTGATTTGCCCGGACAACTTGTTGTCACGTTGACTGCACACTGGCTAAAATGGCTACCAATGCTTGGCACCCACCCTCTACCCAATATCCTGCTACAGGGTGTCATGGGTGCGCCCACCTTTGCCGTGTTGCCTTTTTTTCCCTCGGCTGTCAATCCCTGGGTCCTTGCTGCCGATGACTCGGCTGGGCCCGCTGATTCCCGAGCATCTCTGATGGGGAGGATAACTGCATGTAAACCAGACAGTTCTCCTCCCTGTCAGCTTGTGCACACTGCTTTGGATGGATATGCCCAGAACAGCCATCCTAAGCAGTGTCCTTACAGTGAAGCACACACACAGCACACAGGCAACCCCTTCCTCGCCCTGCATGTTAACCCCTTCCTGCCCAGTGCCCTTAGTACAGTGCCAGTGCTTTTTGGTCAGCAGTGATCTCTGTATTGGTGTCACTGGGGATGTCAGGGAAACAGTTAATTCCCCCCAGTGGCAAGAATGTCCGCCGCAGTCCAGCTATAGATTGTTCCCCACCATTACTAATACAAATAACCAGTTTAAAATCAGATATATTCTGCCATTTGTAAGCGCTCGAACGTTCACAGCAACAAAATAATTTTACGTATTGTGATTTCAGGAAGCAAAGACATGGAGCAGAATACATTTTGCACTACAGAAATGGATATGTTTAATCTCAAAAAGGGAGAAATATTGCTTGGGTCACAAAAGTGAATGGCTTGGGTGATCTAGCGCAAGTAATTAAACACACAGGTGACAAAACTCCAAAAGAGAGCTCAAATTCTGGGATACAAAGGATTTAGATTTCATTTGGGGGCAGTGTTGCATGACCACACAATTGTCAGTTAAATGAATGCATCGCTTTAATGCTATAAATGGCAAACTTGCCATTTTTATGGCTGTTGCAAGGCAACAAGCAAATCAGTTGATACAGCAGGGTGTTTGCTACAAGGGGTCACTAAAGGTAAGTCATCTCACAAAGGATATATTTCAAGATAAATAGGTGCAGCGCTAAGTACTAATACACATATATAACATACACATTGTCATATTATTTCAAAAACGTGCAGATAAGTAGTATCACCTAAAAGGTGATCATTAGTGACTAAAATAGTTCAGTATGACTGTGGACCCTAAAGGGATCACAATTCCAGGTGTGTGGACGTCCTGATCCGGGAGTGAGAACTGGTGCAATTCAAACGAATGAATGAAATACGCACTCACCAGAAGTGCGTTTTTAAAATACGCAATATGTAATCCTGCGTCATCAGGTCTCGGGTCAGGTTACCCCACGAATCCCCATCCAAGCTCATCAGAATAAAGGTCACCAGGGTCCATTACCATGTATCGCCATCGGGGTCATCTGTTATCCCGATGGGCACTGCGAATGATGGCACTCACACGGAGAGCCCAATAAGAGACCACATAGCGAGATACTGCTTAAGGTACCTTTATTCCAGAAATAGTGGGTACAATGATAAAATTTTAAAAATTACTGACCATATGTTCAGGATGGCCACCAGCGGTGGTTAGATGTCCAGTTGCTGTAGCCCCTCTGACGCGTTTTGTGCAATGCACGTAGTCACAGGGATAAGGGCTTACAGCAGGACATCACAGTAATGCTATTTTATATTTGTAAATGACAATCGTGCCAGATGCGCCCGCCATTTTGCCGACTATTTGCCGTGGATCGCAGATGCGATCACTAGTCAGCAGGCAGTGCCTCCTAGTACGGCGCCATTTTACTGGTGGTGAAAAAGTATGATGAGACAAACGGTTGCTGGCTATTGCACACTAATATTACCCAGTCTCTTTTATCACACAAAGTATAATATATTACGAGGGGATATATATGTGAGAGCTCACTATGAGATATAATAGGAGCTCATTTAAATGTATATTAAGATCCTTAATATCCCTAAAATGATAATTGTAGTAAAATTTGGAATATAAATAGCATTATCAGTAAAGTAAAATGAATTCGAATGAAATACAAACACATGGTCAGATAAATATGAATATAAAACATATGGTCAGAAAATATAAAATATATATGGATCAAATATAAGTTCAATGAAAATAATAAGATATTATTAAAAATGGCATCTAACAAAGAAAATTAAATATATAAATATATATAATATATAAATAATTTATTTTGTTAAAAAGGACGCCTACATATCTCACTGTGGTCCATATTGCCTATATGGTGCGTTTTATAATCATCAAAACCATTTACTAGTCTGATAGAACAAAATGCACCCATAAACATACCACCTAGAAAATTCATATATAAAAATAAAAATGAGATAATGTGAATTTAAAATTAGATTAAAAATTAAGATGTAAGCGGGATAAAAAGCGATGACGAGGAATTTTCAATATTGGCGTCGGATACCACTTAATGGATGCAATATGTATTGAATGCCCGTAATGATTCTCCAATATAATCTGATATGTTTAAAATGGAAATAAAATAAGAAAATAAAATCTTATAAAATGAAATAAGCAGGTGTCATGCGTCATATTCTACCCTAGCTATTGTCTATAAAAAACGGTTTAGATTGAAATCTATATTAAATCCCCTGGGATGTAGGGAACCCAATTCGTAGATCCATCTCGATTCGAGCTGTGACACTGCTCATTTTTTGTTTGTTCCTCTCCAGTGGGCATTAATAATACCTATGCCCATGAATCTAAGTGATGATGGATCTTTATTATGATAGATCTTGTAGTGATGCGATAAGGAATGCTCCTTTTTTATACCCTTTTTTTAATGTTATTGACATGCTCTTTTAGTCTGTCTCTAAGGCGTCTAGTGGTGCGTCCAACATATTGAAGGTTACATGGACATTGGAGTAAATACACCACAAATCTACTTGTACAGGTGATGAAATCATCGATATCATGATTACCCTTGTGGATTTAAAATGATTAATTTTACTTGTGTATTTGCTGCATCGGCAGATGACGTATTTTTTGCGGGGATAGAACCCTTTTAAATTTGTAAACATAGTTACACCTCTAGGGGGATCCACAATATTAGGGGCAATTTTATTTGAGTGATGTCGCTTTTCTGAAGATAATTTCCGGTTTCTCCGGCAATATCTCACAAAGGATGTTCTCGTATAGGTCACCCCTTTGATTTATGGGGGGAAAAAAGCAGGAGCCCAGACCAGAGTGGTGTGACTGTGCAAAATGGCTGATTTCCTGCCAGCAAAAGTGTGTCCCATGAGGGCTGTGATGCTGCCCTGGGACATGAAGATTCCTGCCATAGAGTGGGGCCCCCCCTGGTGGAGCAAATGACTTACTTCTTGTACAGTTCAGGGTAGCAAAGGACTTCCGGGGGTTTGGAAGTGATGCCCCCTTCTAATTTCCAAATTGAAACTTCCTGGCCAGAGAACAATGTGGGCTGGTTCACGAGCAGTGAATGGGTGTTGCCTTTCGAGTAATATAAATCTCATTGGCAGATTTGGCCCCTCTTACCATTGTTGAGCCAGTGACAGAAAAGACACTTCAAGCTGAGCTCCACCCAAAAGGGGAATTTCAACTTTAATGCATGTCTCCCACTCCTGGTTAAGGATTGTCACCTTTTGTGGATAGAGTCTTTGAATGGGACAGGTACCTGCTCCCACTTGCGCTGCGATTGGAAATTGCCCTACTCCCCCCTCCGTTGTTTTCTTGGAGGTGTCTGGTCCCTGAACACTACGGGACCATTCCCAAAGTGCAGCGCTACTCAAGCATGTGTAGTGGGCACCTGCTTAGGAAGCCAAAAGCTGTCACAGTTGGACAGGGGCACATTGAAGATGGTGGTGCCAGGGAGAGAAGATGGCTGATAAAAACCAGTCATGGTGAGTACCCTGCTGGATGGAGGGAGCGTTGAGTCTTTGATTTGACAAGTCAGCAGCTACCTTTTTGATATCTGCTGAGTTTGATTGTTTAACAAATCAAATGGAAAACCTCTAACTTGGAGGACAAACTTACATTAGGTCTAATCTTTGCTCTCCAATTTCTATATGCTCTGTCAAACTTTTACTTTCTTGTTCAATAAATAAGACCTGTATTTGGGCATCCTTGTGTGGATTATTCTTGGTAATATTGTAGTCTGTTACTAAGATTAATATTTTCCCACCTCAGATATACTAGCCAATTCAATGGATTGAAAAGATATAACTTAATTTAAGATAACGATTGTTCAAGACCAAAACAAGGACCCAATTGATTGCAACTGCAACAAATTTAATCTCTACCTATGGTAGAATACGTACATGTGAAGTAGCGGGTGATCAGGCAGCTCGCGTGGCCATCCCATCATCTGTATTGGAGCTTCGGGACACGCGCAGCTGACGGACTTCCGGCTCCCTCTCCTCAAGTCTCCCAGGAATCATTCCTCGCCTGGCAGATGTTGTGTAGGAGGCAACAGGCGAGGATGATCCTGGAAGACTTCTGAGGAGAGTATAATAACTCCCCCCCAGGCCTGGCCAAACACAAGAAACGGGAGATTTGAGCAGACCCATGGTCTGCTCAATATGGCTCTGGTCTTGGCCTGAGCCTTGTTGTAGTGTTTTCTGGGCCAGGCTCTGGGGGTACCTGACTGGAGCCATCAGCCACGTCAGCTGCGGATAGCCGGCATCCCCTGCAAAAAAAAGAAACAAATGTGGTCAAGTCATTGCATTAGTATGGTTATACATTATATAGGACGTTCAAACCGTACATTATTTTTCTAAGGTTGGTTTCTACCTAGACACAATTGATAGCCTGTCTCCATTGTACAGTGACCACGTTTTGTACAATGTGAATGTCAAAGTACTTTAGAGCATGAAGTCAGTGTTGGAATACATGGACCTTACTTATGTCTTTCCACATTATCTGCTGATTGGTGCATATATGTATCCCCTTGTTTTTGGTTTAGGGCCTAGAGTCCACATCTATATGGCGTAAGTTGAATCTTTGGATGGGCTGAGAGGGTGTTCCCAGCACAGTTCTCAGTGGGGCTAAAGAAAGAGCTATATGTATGTGTGCAAAGGTTAGCTTTACGATCATGTTATTGCTATGATTGGCAAGCATAGTGGCCTCCTAACTGCAGGGCCTGGGCCTATATCAGCTATGGTAACATGCATGCAATATTATAGTTCAAGTGTAGCCACAAACACACACAATAACTTGCCAAGAAGCCAGCCATCTGGCATTTGGCCACTTTCGAATTTTCCGAATACACCCGACTGCTGGAGGATGAAAGCATCATGGCACGACCCTGGAAAACCTGAGTTGACACTCATAATCTGCTGTCTGGCGTCACAAACCAGTTGTACGTTGAGGGAATGGTACTGCTTGCGGTTGCGATAATCTTTCTTCTGTCCTGGGTGCTCGTATTGCAACATGGGTACAATCTATCGCACCCAGAACTCGTGGCATTTGTGCCCGACAGTAGAAATCCACCTTCACACCATTCCACTCCTCCTTCATTTTTGTGGCCAGTGAATAAATTGTGGCACCAGGTCAAGAATGGCATCTATGACCTGCATAAAAACCCTGGACACGGTTGGCTGACTCAATCCAACCACAAGTCCAGAAGTGGTTTGGAAGCTGCCCCGACCCAAAATGTAGAGGGCCGCCAGCAATTTGACCATCCCGGGTACAGCATGACTGCGCCTTGTGGTCGGCACAATCTTTTTTTCCTCTATGAGGTCATAGAGGTGCAG